AGCACAGGCTCTCCTGGCTCAGGCCCTGCTGCTTGCCTGGCACTGCAGCAGTGTCACAGCTGCCGGGGATGGCAGGAGCCTGCTCCAGGTGGGGCTGCACATTGGGAGACTGGCTCAGCATCCAGACTGTCCAGTGAGCCGCAGGGATGGGGAGGAATAAATGGAGTTTTATGCAGTGCAGTTCAGAAAAATCAACACTCTGCAATTCCTCCCAGGTTAGAGGTGTTTGGGGGTTTCTATCCTGTGCACACAGTGTTTAAGGTGAAAGGGTTGCATTTGAGCCCCTTGGCTGCATTTGGAGCAGCTTCACAAGGTCTGCTCTCCTCCAGGCTCTGCTCCCATCCCTTGGGGCTGTGCTGGCACAGCCAGGAGGGATCTGTGTCTGGAGGCTCTGCAGCCACACATGCTGTGCATGAACACAGAGTTCATGGATTGCAGTGACAGAGGCAGCCCTCGGTAACTGTGTGCAAACCAGGTTTCACCTGTTTGCCTGTGCATTTGTCTCTCCTTTCATCATCCAATGCCAAACACCTGAGGAAAGGTCAGCCCTGACTTGGAGAGGAAAGCAAACAGCAAACAGTGGAGATGGCTGTGGGGTGCCCAGCTCAGAGCAGTCAGCTGTGATTGCAGGGACAGAGGTGCCCTGGGGCACACAGGGACCATCCCTGGGACAGAGGTGTCCTGGGGCACACAGGCTCTGCCCTGTGCCCTCTGCCAGCACAGGAGCCACAGAGGGGGAGCCTCAGCCCAGAGCAGAGGAGCTGTCACAGCTCAGTGCCAGCCTGCCTCGGTGAGTGTGGGACACAAAGAGCACTTCTGGTGGTGGGAATAGTAAATACCTGATGATTTGTTGTTTTCTCTGGTAGCAGCATTAACAAAAGCTTGCCATTGCCGTGTGCTTTTAATGAGTCAAGCAGTGGTGATGGAGCCGTGTTTGGAATAATTCTGTGTTTTCTCAGGAGAACGCTGAGCCCCAGCCTTAACCTTCCCAGCAGTTCATGGCACTTGCAGCTGAGTTATTTGATTAAAATATTATTTTTACCAGCGCCTTGAGAGTGCTGCACAATATGATTTATGCTCATTGTCAGGGTGTGTTTGTTGAGGCTCTCACACAGAATGAACTCTCCATTCATTGGCACTGATGCCAAGGGAACTGCTGTATCCCAAAACAATGGGGCAGAACGTGCAGAAACCCTTGTGCTCGTGCAGCTGCATCCAGTGGGAGTCAGCTTAGGGAGTCAATCTGCATCCTCTGCACTGGGATTGCAGCCACAGTTGTGCCCAGTCCCTGGAGGAGCTCAGAGTGCATTTACATCAAGGGCCTCTCTGTTCTCCTCCCTCCCAGCACATGAAGTAGCAAGGCTTTATTTCAAATATGTTCCTCTTGCTCAGCCCTTAATGGCTTGAAGTTTTATTATCATTTATTATATATATAATATATAACATATAAATATATATTTATAAATATTTATAAATAGAAAATATTTATATATAATATATTCATAAATATTAAACATTATATAATAGCTATAATATTATACATTATATCTATTTATATAGAAATATTATATATATTATGTATATTATATAATATTTATTATTTGTAAATGTATTATATATAAATTTTATAATTTTAAATATTCGTAAATACATATATATGTTTTATATATATATATATATATATATATATATATATAATATTTTTTACATATTTTTAAATTGTTTTATTCCATGAGGAATTATCTGACTTACTTTCTCTAACTTTCTAAAGCAGAGCTGCTGCACAAATCCTCCCCAGTAGTACAGCCAGATTCCCCAACCTTCCCCAGAAACTCCTGTGCTGCAATTTGCCTTTAAAGGCTCCCCAGGACACAGGAGGGTGCAGCTGATGCAGGGAAAGGCGCAGCCTGTGCAATAATCCTGGCCCAGCCAGCCCAGAGGGTCGGGCAGTGGGAGCAGTGCAAGCTGCCAAGGCTGGGACAAGCAGGATTGATGGAATTTTTTAAGTGATTTCAGGTGAATTCTTGCCTAAACCCGTTTTTAAAAGCAAAAATAAAAGCCAAGCTGTGAAGCAGCTGGGAGCTGTAAGGGATGCAAAGGCCACCCTCAGGCCGTGAGCTTTGCTGTGTGGCTCAGGTTGAATTGGAGCTCTGAAATAACAGTGGGAATTTCAGTGGCAGGGATTCACTTCTGAAGCACCAGAGGAGCATTTAGTTTCAATGAGTGATGAAACCTGACTGAATCAGACAAATGAAATAAGTGACCTCTGTCTGGCAAGGTTATCCTTGTGGCTGGACTTTCTTAAGCAGATTTGAAGTGCACAGAAATAGGAACTGTGAGTAAGAAGCACATTAAAATGTCACAAAAGGGGGTGCCCAGGCTCAGGAGCAGGAAGGGTTAAAGGGTGCCCATGGGGTGAATGCTCTCTCAGGTCAGGTGCCCACAGCTTTCATTTCTCAGTGCCCAGATGTCCTCTGCTGGTCTAATTAAAATGTAGTGTTTAATTTCAAGCACATGTTTTAAATTAGCTTAATGGCAATGCTCTAGGGGAAATGAATTTCTAGAGTCATTTTTCCAGCCACTGGACAAAAGTGCTGGCCTGCATTTTTTGGAAAGGATGTGAGATTTGAAGTGCCCTCCATATTTGCTACCTAAAAGAGATGTCACGGGAATGGCATGGAATAATTACTGGATGAAAATATGCTTCATTTAGAGAGAATTAAATTGCAGATGATTTGAAAAATGTTAACTGTTTCTTAAAACATGAGGGTTCCTGTTTTTTAGTACAGTTTGCTCCTATATTGGTGACGGTGGGAATTTTCATTTTAATACGTGTCTGCTTTGTGTAAAACTCTCAATGCAGTTGGGGCCCTGAAGGTGGTGAGGGTTTGGCTCTGTGTCAGAATGAAAGGCCCTGAGGAGCTGTGGGACAGGACAGGGCTGCAGGGAGCTGCTCCCACACAAGGTTTGAGTTTCAGACATTAAAGGAACTGGGCTGGGACCAGGCAGGCGAGGGAGGGTGGAAGTGAAATAAATTCTGCAGTGATGAAATTACTTTGGACAACTTAATGAAAAAAACCGCTCAGATCCCACTGAGCCATTAAATGACTGAATTCCACATGGAAGCACCCATCTCCTCTGACAAGCCTTTGACAAAACTGTTGCTTTATTTTCATGGGGAGTGATTCCTGACCTGCAGATTAAAAAAACTGAGGGGAGAAAGGGGCACAAGGAGTTATGAGCCCAAGAGACAGCAGAAAATACATTGAAAATGAACACTGAGGTGCCTTTATTAATCCTAAAGGTACATTTGGGTAATACTGGGGCTAAATTGATGCTAAATGATTTGCAGAAGAGGCACAAATAGTTTTAAATCTCCCAATGTACATTTTAACGTTTTTCTTTGCCATTTAAGCCCTGCTATGATTACAGCATCCCTTCGAGCAGCTGCCTGTTGCCAGGCTGAGCTCTGGGGCTCTGGCAATGGGAACCCATGGTCAGCACCCAAAGTGGGCACACTGAGCAGGCTGGCCAGGGAGGTGTGGGAGCTGACCCTGACAGCTGGGCTGTGCATGCTTTGGGATAACTAAATGAAATCCTAATGCCATGGCTGGGTCTGGCTGTGCCAACGGGGAGCAGCATTGTGGGACCCTGCACAGGTCCTGCCCCTGCATCCCACGGCAGAGCTAACTGCAAACAAAATGCATGTCATGGCATTCATTAACAGCGCATTCCAAGGTCCTGGCATGCAGGAGCAGCCGTGGGGTGGGTGCACAATGGAGTTTTTCCCTGCAAACAGAACAAATGCTATTTTTGGAGCTGGAGCTGCATCTCATCGAGGTGTGCTTTGCTTCAAAGCTGCCTGGGTAGGAGTGGGGCTTTGAAGGGGAAGATAAATACTGTAATTAGGGCTGCAGGACAACAAAAGGATTATTCTTACCTATAAAATCATTTGAGTGAAGTTGCTGCAAAGATAATTACACCCAAAACTGCTTGCATGGGTCTCATATTTTCCTTACAAGGACTTACAAGACTCATTGAATATTTATAGGCCTGGAACATGAGACTGGGTGAAATGCAAGCCATAAATCCGGGCGCATTTATGATGATGAAATTCCTGCAGTTGCTGGCCAGGCTTGGTAGGAGAGCAGAGCAGAGCTGAGCTGGATGTGCCTGGGCAGTGCTGGGGCCTCACCCACTCCTGGGGCTGCCTCCTTTATTTTCCTGTTGGTGCTCCTGTCACTGCTCCCCCATGCAAATGAGCATGCTGCTCCCCAGATGCAGATCTCATATTTAGAGATTAAATACAGCCTGAAAAATCATATGTTAATTACATTCCGAGGGTGTAGCAGAATTTCTCACTTGAACATATTTTGTTTTGCTGGGAATAGCACAAATTCCAGATCAATATATTTATAGTTGGAGCTCAGTAATAAATGTATCAGGCTGCAGAAGCTTTCTGATCATTACTATTACTAATCACTTACCATCAGCTCGGTGCTCAGGCTTCTATCCCACACTGTGGATTGGTTTATTTGCTTTTAAAAACCTGCTTTTCTCAGAAGGTAACCAATTCCATTGGAAGGGGAGGAGGAATGCCAGTGAAGCAGGGCATCAAAATGAGCTGGCAGAGATCTCTGAGAGGCTGTGAGGAACAGGACACGCTGAGGTTGGCTCAGGTGGTTGGAAAAGTCCCTTTTTATTCCCCATAAAGGTGCCCTGCCACGTGTGATGCTGGAAATGCACCTTGCAGGGTTCCCCTGCAGTGTGTGCAGAGCCAGGAGCCAGCAGGGCACTCCAGGGATGGTGGGATAAATAAATGTGCTTGGGGGGAGTTGGGCTGGGGCCTGAATCAGGGTTTGTTTGCCCTGGGGTTTGAATCAGGGTTTGTTTGCCCTGGGGTTTGAATCAGGGTTTGTTTGCCCTGGGGTGTTACTGAAGGGCTGAGCAGCCCCAGCACAAAACAAGGAGGGAATTGGGGAGAAATCAATACACAGCACTCAAACTGCTTTCTTGTTTACTGTACCAGAACCTTGCAAAACATCAAAAATAGAGAGGAAAGCTTAAAACACACTGTGAACTTCATTATTACAGAGGAAAGTCTGACACAACAGCCACTGGATCAACAGAAAGCATTTCACAGGCTCTCCTTGGGGCAGGCTCAAGACCTACAAAGCAAACAGGTTCCCAAGAACCAGAAATTACAAATATGCCCCTCTTTTTTGTTTGTTTGTTGTTGTTGCTGGTTTTTTGGGTTTTTTCCTCTAGCTGCAAGTCCTTTGATGAACAATTACAGACTCAGAGGTGTGTCCATGGTCCCTGGGCTGGCAGGGATGAGCAGTGTGGGCTTTGGGCAGAGCTCAGTCTCACTTTCAGACAAGGCTGCTGCATTGTATTGGAATAAATGCATCCTGAAAAGCCACAAATAAGAACAAACAGTGCCAAAACACACAGCAAATACCTCCAAGCCCATCCCTTTGTACAGGTCTCATAAATCTTTCAATAAATAAGCAAATCACAGAGGTACCAAAGGAACTGGCAAAGCAAGAGGTAGTTTATGTAACCAAGCAGCTCTGGCACGGCTCTGGCACCTGGGGCCAAGCTCCTGCCCTGTGCCAGGGGCAGAATGCAGGCTCAGGGGAGCTGGGCTGCTCTGGGGGGCTGCAG